TTTTTGCATGCACTTCCCCAAATAAACACATTGAGAGTGTCCAAGGAGTTTCGTAGCGTTTCGACAAGCCCTCGGTCTACTTTCAATTTCCGACCGGAACGCGTGCGTGTGCGGTTTCTCCATGAACGGGAGCGGAGGCAAACGCGCCTTAGGGGGAATAATCTCCCGATGAATTTTTGCATGGAAGTCCCAAATAACACATAGAAGGGATCTGCAAAGTTTCGTAGCGTTTCGACAATTTTGAATTTCCGGCCCGAACGGGCCCCCGTGCGGTTTTTCCGACGGGAGCGGAGGCAAACGCGCCTTAGGGGAATAATCTCCCGATGGATTTTTGCATGCACTTCCCAAATAACACATTGAGAGTGTCCAAGGAGTTTCGTAGCGTTTCGACAAGCCCTCGGTCTACTTTCAATTTCCGACCGGAACGCGTGCGTGTGCGGTTTCTCCATGAACGGGAGCGGAGGCAAACGCGCCTTAGGGGAATAATCTCCCGATGAATTTTTGCATGGAAGTCCCAAATAACACATAGAAGGGATCTGCAAAGTTTCGTAGCGTTTCGACAATTTTGAATTTCCGGCCCGAACGGGCCCCCGTGCGGTTTTTCCGACGGGAGCGGAGGCAAACGCGCCTTAGGGGAATAATCTCCCGATGGATTTTTGCATGCACTTCCCAAATAACACATTGAGAGTGTCCAAGGAGTTTCGTAGCGTTTCGACAAGCCCTCGGTCTACTTTCAATTTCCGACCGGAACGCGTGCGTGTGCGGTTTCTCCATGAACGGGAGCGGAGGCAAACGCGCCTTAGGGGAATAATCTCCCGATGAATTTTTGCATGGAAGTCCCAAATAACACATAGAAGGGATCTGCAAAGTTTCGTAGCGTTTCGACAATTTTGAATTTCCGGCCCGAACGGGCCCCCGTGCGGTTTTTCCGACGGGAGCGGAGGCAAACGCGCCTTAGGGGAATAATCTCCCGATGGATTTTTGCATGCACTTCCCAAATAACACATTGAGAGTGTCCAAGGAGTTTCGTAGCGTTTCGACAAGCCCTCGGTCTACTTTCAATTTCCGACCGGAACGCGTGCG